ATTCTGGAAAAAATTCAAAAAGTCAAATTTTTTCACAAAACTGTTTTTCCTTTTTTCAATAAGCTATATTTATCGGGATTTTTTGAACTACTCAGTGTCACCCTTTTACTACCTTAATCCCATCATTCACCAAGACAAGAATTGTGTGCTTTGAAAAAGCAAATGATATAGCATTAGAGAAAGGGATGGAGTATGTAATGGATTAAGGCATCTAAAACCATTCACAGAAGATCTGTATGCAACTGTATTTGTGGTAATTTTCTAAATGTTTCCATCTTATTTATCAGGATTAGCTATACATGTTTGCACCCACAGGCCTTAATCTGGCTGAAAAACCTATGACCTCTACAGCCGTGAAAGCCTTGTTAGGTTGTGAATCCCAGAAACTGCAAGGGTAGCTGATCTATTCAGCATTAAGTTCAATAAATTGGTGAAAGCTTTGCCCCATCCCTCCAAAACCCAAACTGTGAAGTGACTAAATCATTTTGGGTCCCACCTTGAGATGTTAAAAGGCCTGGATTTTAGAAAGTCCCTTGAAAATCAGGCCCCTTTAAAGTGTCTGAAGTTGGGCACCCAAAAATTGAAATCACTAGCTACTTTTGAAAATCTTGGATCACGTGTACATCTCCACAATTGCAAATCCTGATTTGTCACCCCCTTCAATCCCCTTTCCAACCTCGTCCATGTCTATGCCTACTCAGCAGTCAAATGCAGCTAAAATGGGAGTGGTGAAATATGGAACGATAAAAAAGATGGAAGCTCTCCATTTTTTGTTTTTGTGCTGGGATGGGGTGTGTAGGGGTGGTCGTTGTTAAGGTCCTAACTGGGAGAATGTGTTCAGGCATTCTGTCTCTCCTTTCTTCCTCATCCGTGCTGTCAAATCCATTCTTGAGCTCACATAGGGAAAGCCATTTATGATTAGCCTGTACTTGCCAGTTTGTAATAAATAAATAATAATGTGCCCTTTGATATTATTAATTTGGCCTCAGTCAGAATCAGGGCCTCATTGTGCTGGGAGCTGTTTTTTCCTGTGTTTTCTTCCACAATCTCTGCCTCAAAGAGCTTGCAACCTTGATCTTGCACAGTAATGGATGTGGGTGGAAAGGTCCACCCAAACATATCACATTGCAGAATGAGAGTCTAAGTTAAGACTGGACACAGCAAATGAGAGTAACAATAGGTGAAAAGGGGAGGAAGGAAAAGGGTAACAGTAACAAGACCACATAGTTACTTAGGCTAGTATGTGCATAACTTGTTTTCAGATCATCTATATGTTTGTTTCTCTTCCAGAATATAAATATGTAAACAGACATAAGGAAGCACTAGTGGTCTTCTACGTAGCCTTTCCCAGGTGCCAGTTTCCCACAGACACATAAGCAGAGCTGAGTCTTGAGAAAGGATCGAAGGAGAAGAGTGTAGTAGTCATTGGATCAGTTCGGAGAGGCCCCACTTATAGAGCACTTTCCATCAGAGGATTTCAAGCAACCTTAGATATATTAAAGAACTAAGCCTTTTCATCACCCCCATGAAGTCAGTATGTATTATTAGCTCCATTTTACAGGTGGGAAAACCAAGAGAAAGCAATTAAATGACTTGCTTAACATCATAGAGTACTTTGGTGGTAGAGCCAGGACTATAACCCAGATCTCCCTATTTTCAGTCCCAGTAAACAACTTTCTTCTTCATTAAATGGTAAGATTAAGAAAACACATTATCTAGTTTCAATCTTTCAATGGATTATTAAAAACCATAGAGAGTGGGAGGAGAAATATGATTTTACAGTTGACAAGAAATACTTTGACAATGTCCTTTTAATGGATATGTTTATGTCAGAACAAAAATGATGGTGCACATTTAAGAGCTAAATAATCAAAGGGTGAAAAGATTCCAGACATGGAAAACCCTTTTCACTGAATATTTTTAATAGGAAACTAGGCAAACAGATTTGGGGTCCATGCAATGGTCAGCTGTCACAAGTATAAATAGGGTAACTTTAAGCAATCTTTTAAAAACAGGATATTAATACTGAGAAGCACATTAGCGAGCAACATGAACACTCATGAAACCAAACCTTTTCTAGTGCCTCAGACCTACAACTGGCCTGTTATGCAGTAAGAGGTGTTGTTTGGATTACAGATGGCAAATAAGTGACAGAAGCAAGCCTGAGGCATGCTTTATATTCTTTATCACACTGAGTCTTTCACTAATTAAACTTAGTGTTTACATTTTCTCTTAAACACCATAGCACCAAGCTGTAGATAGCTGTGCTATTCCACAAGTGTTGCTGAATTGACATATGACACATACATTATCAGATTATTCTGTTTCCTCTTGAAACTACATGCTCAAAATGTATCATTTTTGCCCTGAACAAAATGAAAGATAAGTTGTATTAAATACATGTAGGGTAAAAAGGCATCTCCTGTGGAGATCATTATCTGACATCCTATTTAATATAACGACAGTAGTGCAATAGCTCCTGAGGATATCATTATCCTGTTTTGCTGTATTTCAGCATAACACCTGATTCAAATCAACACCAACATGTCTTTTTCATGATAGTCCTGCACAAATGTCGTTATCCAGACAACATGATTCTTTTCCCCGGTGAAATGGAGGGTAATTTTAAAATAATCAGCTAGCCAAGTGTCTCTGTCGAATGTAGTATTTTTCAGAACTGCTTTCTGATATGAGTTACAGACAGAGAAGCTAATTTAAAAATTAGAATGTTTTTATAACATCTTCTTGATAGGTTCTATCTTTCACAATGATCTGAAATCAAGCCATAAGGGCCACATGGCACTAGTGCCCCAAGGACCACACTTATTGTCCACAGGATTCAATGAGAGATTTTCCACTGAGTTCTGCTAAAAGCTTTTGGTTTACACTTCAGTTTGAGAGAGTTAAGGAAGGGGAAGCGTTGGCATATTTCCCTTCTTACCCAGGGCTGTCACTGATGGCACAGACAGCAATGCCCTGCCCACCCTATTGAAACACATCAAAGCAAGTTCTTTTTAAAAATAGGTTGAAACTACCAAAAGATCTGATTAAACTTAACAGTTCCAAAGTAGGGAGATTTTTGTGCCATAAAAGTTGCCTACTTTATAATAATTCTCATGATATTTTTTAAAAGAACAGGAATATAAACCTGAAAAGAAGTACTCACATGAGTAATCATTATTATAATCATGACTAGTCCACTGAAGTCAAATCAACCTAATTGTTATAGACCAGATTGTAAACCCCTTACTCACACTGGTGAGCAGTTACTCACGCAAGTAGCTCCAGTGACTTAAACAGGACTCTACTTAGTCATGTGAGTTACTGCTCACTAGTGTGAGTAAGGGGTTCACAATCTTGCCAGATAGCAAAACAATAAGACCATTTATTAACATAGTTGGCTGTATAATATGTATTTTGGGTGCTAGTGTAATGAAGTAATATTTGACACAGTGATATCTCAGTCTCACACTCCTGAATTATCTTCAGCCAAAGAGAATGGATGTGAAAAGATGCTAGTTACTGTATAATAAGAAAATATTTAATTTTTTTTGTCCATCTCCTGCTCTGGATGGCTACAACCTGACACTCTGTCTGTCAATCTTTAGCACTTATATCTATACAGATGTCCTTTATTCTCTCTCTTTCTGTCTAAGTTTCCTTTGGCTGAAAGCAGCATTAACCCAGTGTCTCAGGCAACAAAGCTGTATTGCATATTAGAATCATGAAAGTTTACAAAAGATTAAAGGTTCTGACTCTACATTTTATATCCCATACTATACTATACTGGTCTTGCCCCACCATCAGATGTGGTACTTTGTTTTTAAGCTTGTCAACTAATGTTTTAAAACCATCATATGAACTTCACAAGTACTATATTCAGGCTGCTTTGAAAAAGAGAGAGAGAGAGAAAGAAAATTAAAGCTGAATTCAGTTTTTTAATATGTAGATGGGTTTTCAAATGATTTATTCTTTAAAAATGATACATTTTATTAATAAATGATGTTTGTAATGATGAAGTGATTTTATCTTATCTAAGGAGAGAGAGAAAAATAAATCAAAGGTAGCAGGCTACAATTTCATTTGCTAGTGTCTCTTCTGGTTTGTGAAAATATCAAAGTTCTCTTATGATTCTGAAGTTGACTAACTGATAAGCTGTGAGGAGGGCTATTCCTTACCATTTTTGTGCAACACAAGAGGCCAAGGATGTGTAGGGTCTAGAAATACTGCCAGTTATACCCTAACATAGAATTCATAGCCTGTGAATAAATAATGAGGTATAAACCCTGGGAAATAAATGACAGAACTGTAAAATTTGCCAGGGATGTTTTAATAATATTGAATGCCATCTGTACAACTGAATATCAACTCAAAGAAGATAAGCGAAAGCAGGGTCTACTTTCACTGACTGCTAAATAAATCCAAAAGTACAAACAAATCACCTAAAACTTAAAGCTACTGTCAATGCACTTGTTATAAAAACTTGTGTTTTACTAAAGATTTTTTTAAAAGTCTTTCATCTTTCCAGTCTCTAAGTTTTCATTATCTGTCCTTCACTGACCATTACTATGGATACTGTAGTGCTCTGAAGGATCCTATTTTCTGATTTCATTGATCTCCCAGAAAAACAATTAGTAGAATTCAAAAGAAATTCTGCATCAGTGCAAGACTTCACTAACTTAATAGCCTCTTTAATGGTGTTGGAAAGGAAAAAATATATAAATGAGATACTCTTTCCATTGGTTTCTCTCCTCACATCTTGCTTGAGTCCTCACTTTCTATGGATTCACACAGACCTGTGAACTATATCCTCCCGAGATGTTTTAAAATCAGTGAACAAAGGGAATAAATTCAGGAAAGATGAAAAAGGGAGGGGGGAAAGAAACCTCTGACCTGACATTACCAAATAAAAAGACACTAAGATGAAAACAGAATAGTGCCATGGATTTACATATGGGGTTTTGATGGAAACTAGGGCTGGGTTTTAAATCAAAACTCACCATCTCAAAACCACTTCTTTTCATCCGCCTGCAGGACTTGAGGTAAGTACGTATGCGTTTTCTGGCACGCTCTTGATACTCAGGGAATTGTCGCCTGCATGAGTCAATGATAGCCTGGATCTTTTCTTTGGGCTGCTTAGAGATTGGGACCATTCGGTCCAAGTTTTCATCTACAAACAGCCTGACAAACATCTGTTGGTAAGAGGGAGACAGAGGAAAAGGGTTTGGAGGGCTGCTCTCTTTCTCTTCCTAGTCTTGATTACTGACAGGAAGATATTTTTTCTGTGCGCTGAAGAAGCTATGTAATGGGAAGCCAGAAATGTTAAGCAAACAACTCTTTAAAGGACTTTTTTTTAGGGCTGATAAAAAAGACAAGAAAAGAATAGTGTATAGAAATTGTGAGATAAACCACAATGGACTGTGAAAATAGGCAGCACTTAACTTTTGTTATTAACAATAAGTTATGATTGCTCCCTGGTTTTATTGAACTGCATATTTACTCTTCTCCTAGTTTGAACAATTGCTTGTGTTATCATGCACAATTACAAACAGTGGGAAAGCAAGTGAAAATAGCTGACCACTGGAATGCTCCTCCTATAAACTAGCTGCAGTCCCCCCCTCTATCCACTGGATGAACATGCACATATACACAAAACACATCTTAGTTCTCCTCACTGATAAAGATGGCACTTTGCCTTACAGTTCTAAATAAAACACAGTAAAACTGGTGTCTGTTGGTGAGAGTTTAATGTGCTTTAAAAGGATCCTTTTGTAAATTAATGTGCCTCTAATATTGCCACACTTATCCATAAATAACAGTATGAAAGGAAACTAGTAAAGTTAAGCAAGGTAGTTAATGCTGCGGGACTTACATTAAAAGCCTTCAGTCGCTCAGCTTCTACCCCATCAGATTCATTAACCTTCTCAGCATCTTCATGTTCATCGTGGTCATCCTCATCCTCATCTCCTCGGTTCAGAGACAGATCTTCAGCACCTCTGCCTATGCTCTCGTTCTTACCAGAGTCGTAGCTGGAATAGCTATGCGCAGGCGACTAACAAAGAAAAGATATTTTTTAATGTACCAGATTAACAGGTTTACTGGGCTCCTCATCAAATAAATTTGTTTTTAAATTAGCATATCAGAAGGTATTTAAAGAATTCCATTATTTTTTTCTTTTATATACACAAATTACTTTCTCCAGCCCCAACACAAACCCTAATGATCACTTTAACAGAGACCTTTTCCCTATCATCTTGTCTACTTCAGTACATTAAAGCAACAGTCTGAGGAAAAGTCAAGTAAATCACTCTATAAATGACTCTCCCGTGATAATTAAATTCTGGATGAGATGGTTTCACAAAGACTTGTTTTGTACTCAAGTTTCTTCCTGATTACATTAGCAAAGTTTCTTCCACATTACATTAAATTGCTGCAGTTTTATACAAAAGTCCGTGGAATGAAAATGACAAATTTTAAGGCATAGCAGAATAAAGGGAGAAGTGGCGATAGTCATTCACTGGTAGGAATCATTATCTAGAACAGTAGTAAGTTATTCATAAATATAGAAATAATAATGCCTTAGTAGATCACTTTCCAAAATTCAAGCAGAATTTAAATAGTCAAGCTTTTATAGTTCTCACAGAAGCATTAATAATGGTAACACATACACACCTGTTTTCTCCTTGAAGCCTTTCTTTACAAAAAATATTCAGAATTTTCCTCTGAGCAGAATTAGTGAGTTTTCGGATAAATAACAGATGACTATTTCATTAAAAAATTATCCACTCACAGTGTCAAAAACACAACAGCTATCAAGAGAGACAAATACTTTAAGCTTCCCCTACCAGTATCAAATTTTGGTTGTCTTGTTATTCTTTGTGTATACTTCACACTAAGTCACAACATGCAAAACAGTAGTAAAAAAACTCCATCAGAACACCAAGGTACAGGGCTAAATTTTTCTCTCAGCTAGACCAGTGTAGACCTGGAGTAACTCCACTGAAGTTATTATTACTCTAGATGCACAACCATACAACTCATCCAAAGCATGTTGAAGTCAATTAACTCTAGAGGGCTTACCATCAAGCTCTATATGATGAATCTCAGTCTATCTGTATCATAAGGTTTTATATAGCTCCTATCAAAGTGGTAGTCAAAGTGTTGCACAAAATTCAGGAGCACAAAGCCCAAAATGAAATGGGCCAAAATTGTCAGCATGGGTGCCTAAAGTTATGGGCTTTGATTTATTTAGGGCCCTGTGTAAATGCCTCAACTGAGACACGTTGAGAAACCACAGACAGAAATCCATAGAGAACACCTGGCACCTTGCAGGCAGGGGCAAATGAACTGAGAGAGTAACAGCAACACTGCTCAGCTGGGCTGGGAGGCTGGAGGAGGAAAAGTCAGACAGAAAAATAAATATAAATATGCCCAGTCTTAGTGCATCATTTTTGTCTTTTCTCTTTTCTTTCCATTTCTTTATTCTCCCTTTACTCTCCCTTTCATCTTCTTATTTCACTCCTTTCTCTTCCTTTCTATTTCCCCACTTTAAATTATTTAACTACTATTTCTGTCTCCCTCATTTCCCTGGACTCCCCTACCTATTTCTTTCACACATGGATTCTCAGCCTCCACCCCCACACTTACTTCCTTTTATTCGTCCCACTCTGTGATTTAGAGCCCCACAATAAAATCCTTTTAGCCACATAACATCCCATTTCTGGAACCTTCATGATTCTCTCTCAGTGTTCCTCATGCTCTCAACTCTGGGTTTCATCACCCCCACCCTGCCCACTCTGTGTGCACCACTAGGGGCAGGAGGAAAAGAAAGTTTGCCAATGCCTCCAGGGATCAGAGTGGCCAAGACTGAGAGGCCTAAGAAGAGAAAGGCTTGAGGAAGCCAGCGAAAGGGAGGAGGAGCTGCTTCTTTGGTGGAGCACTGCAATCTTTTGTTTACACAGTGGGCAGGCAAGAGGACAGATGCCAAATGTTGACCTCACTGCCTCTTCAACTGATTCCTGTAGGGATATGTTTTTGAAAAAATATGATTTGGAGATGCTCCCTCATAAAGGAATGTGTTGTGAGTGTGGGAATTTGGAGATGTGCCCTGGAGACAAGGGTTTGGGAACACTGCATGGCTGTGTGCAGCAGCTCACCAGAAGTGCTCTCCAGTTTGTTTCATGAACAGCAACTCAAGGAAATGGTTTTAAAACAGTTTCAGATTACACCTGAAGCATACAGAGTAAAATTTAGAAGCCTTAAGAGAGGTGCTGGGATGAGTAATGTGGCATATGTAAACCAGATGGGAGATTTGATGGATAAGTGGGTAAGGGGAAATGGTATTACAAGCTTTGAAGAAATGTGTGATCTTGTTGCTCAGGAACATTTCCTGAGTATATGTAGTAATGATGTCAAACAGTGTTTAGGGGATAAAAAGGTGAAAACTGTTGATGAACTTGCTACTCTAGCTGATGAATTTGAACAAACCCAAGCACCTATTAGAAATAAATGACTGGCAGAGGGGGTTTAAGACTGGTGGGAAGCAGGGTTCCCATTGTACCTCTGGGAAGGAGAAGGGTGGATGGGAGGCTGGACGCTTACCTCCCCAAGTCCATTCCTCTAGTCCACATCCCAAATCTCCTGTAAAAACAGAAGAGCACAGAAGGTGCTACCACTGTAAATCCACTGAGCACCTAAGAAATAAATGCTCTGTGCTGGGTGGGAACAGGCAGCAAGCAACTCATGAGAATGCTGCTACCCAGAGCACAGAGGCACCTCAGGCAATTGCCTCTTATCATACAGGATTTGTAAAAATAGCCTCTGCCCGGCCAGGCAGGAAGCACATAAAGGCTGTCAAAATTAATGACCAGAAACTCCTGGGGTTGAGGGATACAGGTGCAGAAATTTCTGTGGTCAGGAGAAACATTGTTCAGGAAAAAGACATACTGCTAGGACAGATGGCAGAGCTTTTGTTAGTAGGAGGTCACAAAATCCTTGTGCCTTTGGCTCAAGTGCAGATAGAAACTGAGAATTTGGAAGCTGAATTGACTGTGGCAGCAGTACCTCATAACCCATCACAATTGTTTCTTGGAAATGATTTTTTCAATATGGCTAGGGCTGTCAAAGGGTCTGTCTGCACCAAGGAGGAATATTGTGCTGAAATCCTGGAGGGAAAGGGTGAAATCCCAGAAACTGCTGAAGGGATGGGAGAGGGTCTCTTAAATTCCCCTGCAGCAGTTGAAAACAGTATGCTACCAGGGGTGGGTATGGGTGAAACCAGCTCCTGCTGCCTGGAGGCTAAAGGCAGCATTTCCTCCTGGGGGGAGGGGAGAGTATTGCCTATCAGCAACAAAACTGTCCAGGTTGCTGGCTGCCAGCAGGTTGTAGCTGAGCAGGGGATAGACCTCACTCTCGGGTGCATAGGAAGATGCGTCCTAGAGGGAAGCCCAGAAGAGGGTGAGAACCCTAGAAACCACTGAAGAGGGTGAAGGTTCTATGAGCTCTGCAGCTGGAGGCAAGCCCAACTCAAAGAGGCAGGAGGGCATGGTGCCTGCCAGTGAAAGGACTGTTCTGGCTGTTAGGTGTGAGCCCTTCTCAGCTGAACAGGGGATAGATCCCACTCTAGAGAGCACAGAAGTGTGTGTCTTAGAGGGGGGCCCAGAGAAGGAAATTGAGAAGGAATTTGGGGGAGTACAGGAATGTCTCCTCACTGATTACATGGGAGGGTTTGCCCAGGATAGATTTGCTGGGTCAGCATCTGTGCTCCCAGGCACCCAACCTGTGGCTCAGGTTTTAAGAGGGAATTGTAACTGACCTTCCGGAAGGGAACAGTCATACAACTGACCTCTTGGGGACATACAGAGGATACCCCAATCCAGGTCCCACTTTTGCAAAATGCTGTTCCTGAAGTACTTGTGGAAACTAACTCTGTCTCTTTAAGACAGGATGGGAATCCTACTAAAGACTTGAGAGTCAGTGAAAATGCTAATGACCCACCTGAGAAAGGGGAGGAGGAAGCCATTTCCCAGGCAGATAAGATCCAACAAGCAGCTAAGAAAAAGCTCCTGAAAGACCACAGCCCTTGAGAAGTAGGGGGGGGGAAAGTCCCAATGCTTGGAGTGAGAATTACAAAGAAACCCTAGGAGGGTGTGTGTGTGGACTTTTTGCATGGGCATAGCACTGGCCTGGAGGGGGTTGGCCTGAAACATGCTAGATCCACCATATGCAAAAGATATTTAAGGCAGGGGAGTGACATCATTGTGGTTCTTCACTGACTCCCCACCAAAAGACTCCTGGAAACACCTGAGGAACAAAGACTGAACTGGGGAACCCTGCTGGACCCAGGCTAAAGAGATTTTTAGACTGTGAATGGAACACCTGGGGTTTCTTAGCTGTAAGCCAGTGCATCTTGCCCCTTAAGAATCTGCAGCCTGCTGGTATCCTCACTTAGGGTGAGGATCTGCTATTCATATGAAATCTCTTTAGTATATTAAGCTTAGTTTGTGTGTTTTGTTTATTTACTAGGTAATCTGCTTTGATCTGTTTGCTATCCCTTATAATCACTTAGGCTGATCACAGCAGTACACTGTAAAGGCTAGTGGGCCTGGGGGGCTCAGTGGCACCTGGGGGGGAACCTGTCACAGTGGGATCTCATATTTGGGTGGCAGATGATTTAGGACTTTAAAGATCATCACTAAGGTTAATTGTTTGTCAAGACCAAAAATTAGGAAGATCATATTTTTGCCATGAAATGAAAAGCAAAAGTCAGTTTTCGCTCGAAGCTCTCTGAAGAGTCAGAGCACATTTTATTCACCGCCTTCTTTTCTTTTAAAGGTGCAGTTCTGCCATGCTTACTTGGGTTGAATGGTACCTTATGTCAGAAAGCCCATTGGATCACCATTACATACATAAAGCATTTTTCTACTTTTCTGAGTTACATAGTTTTCACTTTTAAACACCGTACCATAAAGAATAGGAACATCTTGCAGAAGCACCATTTGTTGGTATGTTTGGGATGAGAGCACTGCATTGGTTACACATGGTTCACATTTG